TTGTGCATTTGGCATTGCTGTGTTGTATTTATAGCTCTTCTTGATAGAAAAAGCCTGCCCAAACCCTACCACTCCAATTAGTCACCCAATAGGTGGAGTAATTTAATAGAACATACAGCCTCAGTCGAGGACCACCGAGCTCAGTCTGGCCAGACTCTTCACACACACAGACAGCTTTTTTCTTGAGGTAAGAGCCAGGCGCTTGAGTCTATGCATGTAGATCACTAACACCAAACCTCACTACTCTACCATCCTGTGTTCTCAAAATGATTAAACAAATAACGGTAACAATTTATTTCAACTTTAGACATTCTACTAACAATAAGCAGCTTTGCAACTACATCTCAACTAACTCTCAGAGTATTAATGTCTGCTCCTCCAACAGACATTCTGCTACTATAAGTAATTTGCAACTACATGTCAACTTATACTTTCCCTAACTCTAACATACTACAGTCTACTAGTACTCTATGAGAGTTAGTTGACATGTACTGTAGTTGACAAGTTACTCATAGTTAGTAGAATGTCTAAAGTGGAGCAAATAAAGTGTAACCTAAATAATATACTGATATATTGTTGCGTCTCTGATCATGTAATGATTTAGACTAAAATATGCTTTTTTGTTGTCTCCAAAATAAAGTTTGAATCATTATTTCTAAAATGCACAGAGTTTTGTTCGAAATATTAAAGATTTATTCTCATAAATGTACGTTTTTAAATGCTTTGAAATATGATCATCCATTACATCACGTCATTATGTGTTTGAAAAATACTTCCTGTGCATGTGTTGCATTTTAATTCAATTGAAATCAGCCTTCATTGTGTGAAAACATATACTATGTGCACTACTGTTCAAAGGTTTGGGGTCTGTAAGATTTGGCTACACTCTTTATTTAAAGGTGTTTTTGCTACAGCGTAATTAATTAAACATATTTTTTGAGTATTTTTATTTTTACTGAGTATTAATTATACATTTAAGAATTGAGAATTTTAACTAGCTATTATTTACTATTGGGCTAGGGTTAGGGTTAGGATTAGGGTTTGGTTTAGTCGCATTAGTTTTGCATGATTTATAGTTACTATAGTACAGGTAACATGTAACATGGGCATTTAAAAAAACAAAAAAGTGTTACCTTTCTCTTCTGTTCCTCAAGCCTGTACTTATTTGATTAAAAATACAGTAAAAACAGCAATAATGTGAAGTATTATTACAATTCAAAATGTCTGTTTACAATTTGAATATATTTTAAAATGTCATTTATTCCTGTGATGCATGGCAAAGCTACATTTCAGTAGCCGTTACATGATTGGGTGCTGGTTTTCAGTGTCACATGATTGAAAACAGTTGAGCTTATTTATTTATTTATTTATTTATTTTTTTAAGATTCTTTGATGAATAGAGAGTAAAAAAAACAGCATTTATTTAAAATTGAAATCTTTTATAACATTATAAATGTATTCACAGTCACTTTTCATCAATTTAATGCATCCTTGATGAATAAAAGTATTAATTTCTTTCAAAAAATAATAATAACATATACTCAGCCCAAATTTTTTAATCTACTAACAAACTCCCGTAACATTAAAGAATTTTATCTCACAGTGGCTTGGTATTGTGTCAACAGGTTACCATAGCCCTTGTATATGACACCCTAAAATCTATGACAGCTATAAGTCCCTCTTAAAGCATTTATAGAGAAGACAGAAGGCATTTATAGAGTCATGATGGGTGGTCAGACTCTTGTTATGGATATGGATTGTGCTGGAGCAGGAAAGGGGTGTGAAGGTTGTGAGTGTGTGGGGCGTAAAAACAAGGTCTTAATCTCAGGAGGGTTAGTCTACCATCCACCTGTCTGCAATCTCTTTTTAGTGTCGTCTGAAAGCATTCCATCTATCTTTCAGACCTCCGCTATACTTTTAATTAGCATTGTGTGATATGTTTGTGTCATGGCACTTGCAAATGACTCCAAACACAGCTGAGGATTTTTAAAGGAAAGATTAAACAAATGTCAAATAATTGCCCAACAGAGGAGAACTTGTTAGAGGAGATCAGTATCAAGTGTGCTGGTGACAAAATAAAAAAAATAAATAAAAAAAATAAAAGCTTTTTAGCTTATAAAAGAGGATCTATCAAGAATGATGCAGTTGACATATACTCGATATTTAGATGCATGATATTAAATAAATAAAAAAACCTTTCTCTCTAACCAATGTTTTCTTATGTTGGCCAGCGCATCTCTGTTGTTGCACAATTAGAGGGATCGTGATATTCCATATCAAGAATTGTTCAATCCCATAAACCTGAATTATCTCGAGTCTATACCCCTTTTGGTTGTTAGACATCCCTTTTGCTTCATCTATTTGGTTAAACTTTATTTTCTTGGTCCACTTTAGACATCCTAACTATAAGTAACTACATGTAAACTAACTCTTACTGAGTTGCTCTTACTAACTACTACAAAGTTGCTTATAGTCAGTAGAATGTCTTTCGGAGCATCAACAATAAAGTGTTAGGAGATATTAGGCAGACAGTCTATTAATACTCTAATGAGAGTTAGTTGACAGGTAGTTGCAATGTTTGTATAATTTATTAAAGGGATACTCCACTTTTTTTTTTGGAAATAGGCTCATTTTACAACTCAGGGTTAAACATTTGGGTTTTATCATTTTCGAATCCATACAGCCGATTTTCTGATATTTAGAAGAATATCAGTAACCAGAGAGTTTCTGGTCTCATTGATTTCCATAGTATATTTTTTCCTACTGTGGAAGTCAATGAGACCAGAAACTCTCTGGTTACTGATATTCTTCTAAATATCAGAAAATCGTCTGAATGGATTCGAAAATGGTAAAACCCAACTGTTTAATTCTGGGGGAGTTGTAAAATGAGCCTATTTCCAAAAAAAAAGTGGAGTATCCCTTTAAGTGGACCATTGAAATAATGGTGTTACCCTACATTTTACAGTAGATACGCCTAAGGCAAAAGTGTTATCACATTTCCAAAACAGCCCTGGATTAGACAGCAAACAGAAGTGCATCAAGTGTGAAACTTAAAATAATTTATTGAAGAACTAGTTGAGAGTTCACAGTTCTCGGTCTTGGAAAACTTGGCTCTATGAGTTAGCCTAATTTTTTTTTGAAAAAAGTGTGATTTGTATAACTGGAAATCTTAACACCACTGGTATTTTTAAAATGAACATTCCCTTTTAATATATTTATTCCAAACTCTAAAATGTTTATTATAAATGTATATACCTTAAAGTCACCATGAAATGAAATGATACTTCTTATTTTTTATGGAATATTGTAATGTTTATTATAACTTATTTATCCATGCACGATTTTATTTTTTACTTTTTTTATCATTGTGCCCTTGCAATCTTTAATCAATTTTTTTTCCATCTCCCTTGCATTAACATCTCTTCTCTTCTGATAACCCTTAAAGTTGCTCTAAGCGATGTTGGATTACTTCACTTCCTGTTGACGTTGAAAAAGTATTGTCAAACAAAACAGAGGCTAGCTCGAACCTCCCTCCTTCTCATCCCCATGTGCACTAACCCCCCAACCCCCACTCCCGAATCATTCTTGTCGGTTATTGGCTGGAACACTGTTTGTTATGTTTGTTTTTGTTGTCGTTTGTGGAGCCTGGGGTGTCTACAGAGACCGCATCTTTTACAGTGTGTTCAGGGGAGAGGCAGCTAGCGGATAGTTTGCTGTAATAAAAAAATGACAAAAAAAAAATGTTTCGGCATAAAAAAAACATGTGACATCGCTTATGGTGCTTTTCCACTGCTGGTACGGCTCGGTACGGCTCAGTACAATTCGGTTCGGTGCGGCACGGTTCGGCTTGCTACGCTTTTCCACAGCGTGTTACGACTCAGCTCGGCACGGCTCGGTTCACTTTAGCTCAGTTGCTTTTCCACTGCAGTTAGTACCGCTTTAAAGTTGGTGGGATTATAGACTGATCGATAACCGCGGTGGCTGTTACTGGCTATTTAAATCAAGCAGATTAGGTTTCCCGTGTCGATGTCTATTGGTCACAAATACAATGACGCTGGTAGTGACGATTCTGTCTGACCAATCAGTGATCTGCAGTGTTTCACGTCACATTTTCTACGCTTGAAACCTCAACAGACCAGGTACCATTTAAAGGGAGCCGTACCGTACCGTACCATGCAGTGGAAATGCACCATAAGTGAGCCGAGCCGAACTAAGCCGTACCGTACCATGCAGTGGAAAAGCACCATTAGAGGACCTTTAAGTGCATGAATGTTTCGCCAATCATTTTTACATATTGGGTCTTTTGTGACCGGGTTCTATATCTAACACGGATGGATCTCTAACTGTCGCGATAAAATAAATATCTCCTAATATTAGAGTAAAAGGGTGCTTGGAAGGGTTCAGTTTGTGCAGATGTTTTCGACCACTGAGGATGTTACTGAAATCGCTGAGCCACTTGAATTCCTGATGGATAAAACCAAGTCTATGTTCACATCAAGTCTACATTGTTCTTGTTCGAAAAGTCGTTTCAATCAGATTTATGTCAGAATGGGGACTTCAAGACTATCGCCACTTCCGTTTCATGCTGACTTTAAAAACCGCATAGCCAGTAAATTATAAGGAACTGACGAGTCTGAAGCCTGAAGAACACTCAGCTCCTAATTGTTTTGATTTACAATTATTTAAGTTACTTTAAGTTTTGAAAACAAAACTAGGGGTGGAGATTTATAGAAAATAGCATTTCTATTCCTAATAGCAAAACTAACAACAACTAAACACTACAAAACGGTGATGTTTTAGTTTATCTATCTATTGTCTGTTCCAAAAGCAATGTGCTGGCGATAATTTATCTGGTTCAATATGAAGGGAGAAAAAGTAAAAGTAATATTATATTACGTTTTTAGTGACATTTAGTAAAAATGTCTTTACCAGTCACTGTCAGGCTTGTGTTTAGAGCCTCGGACAACTTCCTCAAGAAAAAGAAAAAAATGCTCAGAAAAAAAAAAACAAAAAAAAACCTGCATGCTATTTTGATAGTGAAAAGATGTAGAAGAAACCTAATGGAAAGAATTGAGAGGGCTTGCCAGTTGGATGGAGAAAGGGAGAAAGCCTGAAGAAGTGAGACAGCAGAAAAGGGCAAGACAAACAGGAAGCAGAGGAGGGGGTGAAGGACTGACTGCAAGTCAAAGAATTTTCTTAGAAGGATTTTGAGCAAGAGAGTGTGCTTCTCCTGGTTTTCATCTGCTACCTTTTATGGTAAAACTGTGGAGGGGGATTTGGTGTAGTAGTGAAGCCTGGGCTCAGTACGCACTCACAAAGGGATAGCAGGGAGACAGCGTGTGCAGGACACTGGGGACCCCTGAGGTGGGCTCATGGGAACAATAGGCAGAGGGGCTTAACGGGTCCAGGACTCCGACAGCTGCGTGAGTAGATGGCATTCTGATATCAAGAATAATGTGGTCCAAATCACAATCTCTCTGTCAAACTGTTCAGAGATATCTACGATGAATTTTAGAATCAGACTAATTTGCAGGACAGATGGATTATCCTCAGAGAAAGTCGATTCATATGACGATTATAGATAATCACATCTATGCACACACAGACACACTAACACACAATATAATCGCTGTAAGCTGGAGGTGAGATAACGGGCTGGTTGTGATGGTATGATGAGGGGTAGTGATGGTGCAGTGGATAAGACACATGCCTTAGGCGTGCGACTTCTGACAGATATAGCAATTGTAAGTCGCTTTGGATAAAAGCATCAGCTAAATGAATAAATGTAAATGTAAAATGTAAATGATGTGAGATAACAGGCTGGTTATGATAGTATGATGTGAGATGTAACAGGTTATGATGGTATGATGACATGTGAGATAACAGGTTATGATGGTATGATGAGATATTGGACTGCTTATGATGGTATGATGTGAAATAACAGGCTGGCTATTATGGTATTATGTGAGATTACAGACTGGTTATGATGGTATGATGTGAGATAACAGGTTATGATGGTGAGATAACAGACTGCTTATGATGGTATGATGCGAGATAACAGGCTGGTAATGAAGGTACAGTATGATGTGAGATAAGATAACAGACTGGTTATGATGGTATGATGTGAGATAAGATAACAGACTGGTTATGATGGTATGATGTGAGATAAGATAACAGACTGGTTATGATGGTATGATGTCAGATAACAGACTGGTTATGATGTAGTACACTGTGGAATTCCAGACTGATGCCTCAACATCTGGTATTTGGTTAACAACATCTGATATCTTCTTAAACACGATTCTTAATTCTTAATATTTTCTTTCTTTCTTTCTTTCTTTCTTTCTTTCTTTCTTTCTTTCTTTCTTTCTTTCTTTCTTCTTTCTTTCTTTCTTTCTTTCTTCCTTCCTTCCTTTCTTCCTTTCTTCCTTCCTTCCTTCCTTCCTTCCAAATGTGTTACCTCAATTTGTTAGGTTTACTCATTTTTATTTGTTTTGGTAAAATGTAGTTATTCAGATCTACATCATTTTTTATTCCTTTACTTAATTCATAACTTTGCCTATATTTAATTGATTGCACTGCTATAAAATTTACTATTTTTTTAAGTGTAAAAATGTTCCATCAATAAAATTGAAAATTGATTCCATTAATTACATCTAATTGGACTGTTGACCCTTCTCTTACACATTAACCCAACCTTACACCTACCCATACCACCAACCCTGACCCTAAACCTACTCACCTCAATTCCAGCAAGTGTTTTGCAATACAACACATGAACACAATAAGTACATTGTACCTAGCTATTGTTACAATTTTAATGTAAATGCTCTAGTAGTTAAAGTACCATAATATAAAGTGTGACCATGTGATACTAAAATGACACTGCTTTAATGTTTCATGCATTCCACAAGTAAATCCCGATGATCCTGTTCTCCAGCAAGATTTGAGAATGATCCAAAAAGTGGATTCAGTGGAAGCAAGAACATCTGGAAATGATTTCACAAGTTTACTTATTAGTGATCTAAAAATAGTGTCGAATATTGAACAGTATGTCTTAGTCATATTTTTTTGTTGTAAATATATCAAAAACATTTGATTAACAGGATTCCATTATCAAGGTGGTTTCAGACTTCTGGACACCACCATGTATAATCTCTGAATATCTCACAGCTAAGAAATACTATATCAACACAATGATAACATTCTTATCAGAATGTCTAGCATTTTCTCAAATCTTCTCTCCATCACAGGACTGAAAGGCTGAAGTAAAGATGACAGAGCGTTATGACTGCCACTACTGTAAGGAGTCACTGTTTGGGAAGAAGTATGTTCTTCGTGAGGAGAACCCATACTGCGTGAAGTGCTATGAGAGCCTGTACTCCAATACCTGCGAGGAGTGCAAGAAACCCATCGGCTGCAACAGCAGGGTAACATTAGTTATAGTACCATATATGAAATTGCATAAAACCAGCCAATCGGTTTAGAGCTTGCAGATCGAGAAAGTGTTTCAGTTTTGTCATCAAATCCACCATATAGTTACTGCCCATTGTTGGGGAAAATGCATTACAAGTTATGTAATCAGATTACTTTTTCAAGTAGTAAAGTAACACTTACTTTTACAACAAAATAAACGAGTTACTTTTTAAATATGTAATGCAAGTTCTCCTATTTATCTGACACTTCTCCTGAGCATGCATACTCATCTCACTGTTTCTAGTTTTAGTATTTCTCAAAATGAATAAAATTCAACCAGAACTGTCGTCTTTGGCTGCTTTAGGATCTGTCCTACAAGGACCGTCATTGGCACGAGGACTGTTTCCACTGCTTCCAGTGCAAGCGCTCACTGGTGGACAAGCCATTCTCCACTAAAGATGAGCAGCTGCTGTGCACCGAGTGCTATTCTAATGAGTACTCCTCCAAATGCCATGACTGCAAGAAGACCATTATGCCTGGTAAGAGATTCTTCGCCATGGGAGGAATGTTCAACAAATTACTTCATATCAGTAGATGTTTTCTTTTATGCTTAGAACTGCCATAAAATCATAATTCGTTCAGCACCACATTCTTTCCATTAAAGCAAATGAGAACTGCTTCCTTTCACACAGGGTCGATCTTTGCCCAGATCTTGTGAAGGCAGAATAACTGTCATTATAACGATATATTACTGGCCCATAATGACGTCAATGCAATATATTAAGTGATCTGCACACTGGTAATAAATATGAATTCATAAATCCTCAAAGAAAGGTCCTCGTGACCATGTGAACGTGTTGGACTCTCAATAACCCATACTGTTTTAATAACCATTACGTTTTAAAAACATAAAAAGTCAACACAAGGACCTTTTTAAAACAATGAAACTCTGTCCGTTCACACAGAACCACTGCTGGTATTTATTGAACTTTTATCGGAATATGTTGAAAGAGAATTATGCAACAGCTCAGCTTTGCTGTTACGTTACGGTTGATATAACTGTAATCCTGATGATAATAATAATTCAATATTTGATATCTGAATCTGATCAGAATAGACTACTCTCCGTACATGTTATCTTGTAAAGATTATTTACTGTATATAGAATGTGTTGATGTAGAATTTTGGCATCAACTCTTCTTTTTTTCATATTTGTAATTTTACTGTAGTCATGAAAATATTTAATATCTCAAAAATAAGCTACTAAGCCATTTGAATGTGAATAAATGCCCACTTATGCAAACAAGCAGAATAGATAAAGGAAAAATAACTAAGCAAATTATTAAATTGATATTAAGTCCACATGAAAATTTGTATGAATGCATAAATACTCATTTGCATTCAATTATATAAAATGAATCACACTTTTATGTTTGTTGACACATACCATTCAAAGTTTTTTAAAAGAAAGTAATCATTGTATTCAAGAAAGATGAATTAAATGACCAAAAATGACTGTAAAGACATTTATAATGTTACAAAAGTATATGCATTTCAAATAAATGCTATTCTCTTAAACTTTTTATTTGTCAAAGATTAGAAAAACATTAAGCAGCTCAATAAATAATAAATGTTTCTTGTGCACACACTCAGCGTATTAGAATATTTTCTGAAGGATCATGTGACACTGAAGAGTAATGACGCTGGAAATTCAGCTTTACAGAATTTACAATTTTACCGTTTTTACTAATTTGACCACTCAAACCCCAACATATTCAACTGCAGTGTACTTTACAAAATATCTGGGCTAGATATTAGAATTGTGTATAATTATCAGAGCATAGAACATATCTGATTCTAACATGACTTGATATTTTGGAAAATGACTTGCATCTACTGCACAAACTTCCTCCCTTATCTTTTCATAAGCAGAATGTTGTTGTATTTGGGATTAGATGGCTCTCTTCTTCTCTTTCAGGCTCGAGGAAGATGGAGCATAAAGGAAACAGCTGGCATGAGACCTGCTTCACCTGCCAGCGCTGCCAGCAGCCAATTGGCACCAAGAGCTTCATCCCCAAAGACAACAATAACTACTGCGTGCCCTGCTACGAAAAGCAGTTTGCCATGCAGTGTATTCACTGCAAGAAGGTAGATTCCTAACAAACTTGTTACTGCTTTACTATGCAACATCAAGTACATATCACTAAACTTATTAAGAAACTCTTTAATTAAGCACAAATCCTGCTCAAAATGCAATAGTTTACTACTTACTGAATACATGTGCACTACATTCTGTAAGTTGACCACTTTCCATTATGGGAAACAGTATTTCATGCACGTTGCACGTTTTGAGAAATCCAGTTATTCTATGTATAGACTTTAAAAATGCTTGGGCCGTTTTTTTGTTTTTTTGTTTGTTTTTGGACTCAAACATGGCAACCCAGCATTTTATAAAGTGTAGCATACAGGTAATCTGCATACTGCAGAAATTAAACATGGTAGCCTGGTCATATTTGATCTCTTCCTTCTCTGTCTAGCCCATCACCACTGGCGGTGTGACGTACCATGACCAGCCCTGGCATAAGGATTGTTTCTTGTGCACTGGCTGTAAGCAACAGCTGTCTGGCCAGCGCTTCACCTCTCGTGATGACTTTGCCTACTGCCTCAACTGCTTCTGCAACTTGTACGCCAAGAAATGTGCCTCCTGCACCACTCCGATCAGTGGTATGTACAAATATGCGGTCTCTGAAATCGAATAATTCTCTACTATATATTATGCGAAAAACAGTACGCCAAAAGTGTAGGAAGTCCAAATACATAGTATTCGAAAAACAGTAGGCGTAAAAGTCCCCGGATGACCTACTACTTCAGTTGAGATTCTGAAGTCGGCATAAGATAGACACTTTACTGTCCCATGAGGCCAAAAGAGAGGAATTAATGAAAGTGAAGTGACGCAACTGACGCTGGTAGGTCATGTGACAGTAAAAATATGGTGAATGTAGTGCGCTTGAAATTACTACCCATATTCATACTATATATAACATACTTTGTTAATGGTCACAAAGTAAATACCAATTCAAATGTATACCTACTCAGACAGTGCGGGGTTTCAGACAAAGCCATACATGCAAATTTGTGCATGTGATGTCACAGATCCCACAATATCTAAACTAGCCATTTTTGGGGCTTGATTAAATAAATGGTTTGTTTAAAATAAGGTTTTAAGCTATGAAACTTGCAGGATGCTTAAATGGTACTTCTCTTATATGTCAAGTCCCTTTAAAAATAGTAGAAATGTAAAACTTTTTAAAATGTTTCTTTGATAACTAACTAAAAATAAAATAAGTTTGAGCTGAAATACTAAGATTAAACTGAAATCAAATTAAATGAACGCTAAATAGAACTATTAAAAAAAATAATAAAATGGCAACAATCACATAACATTATTACAACTTAAACTAAAAATGAAATGGAAAAACTAAAAACTCATAAAAATAAAAGCTCGTAAAATATGAATAAATACCATAATATTAGTAATACTAAAATAATACTGGTGAACAATTTGTATTATTATTAATTGTTATTTTTAATAACAAACTTCATATTCTTTCTAAATTACTCAGAAACATGTCACCATAAAACTGTGGTACTTCCAGAAACATTGATGATTTTGAAGTGCCACCAAACGTTTAATTTATATGATCATGTAGAGCATTTATAAATTTAATACTTTTATAGAACTAAAATTATTTTATCATGCTTCATTCCTTTTTGCCTCATGACTTATCAAAAATAAACTTAAACTCAAAAAACGTACTATGATCAACACTCTCATCCATTTATTTCATCAGACTTGTCAGCGAGGAACTTTCATTGCAGTTCAATAACAAAAAACTAAAACACTGACAAGTGAAACAATCTTCATTTGGCTTTCTCACTTAAATACATCAATTCATGATGCAACACACATCACAACTGCATTTCTATAAATACAAAACTATCAAGGGTCAACTATCAATTATTTGATTTCGGCCAAACTATTTGAATGAGACTATTTCGGCTCAACTCTACCGACTTTCCATGAACTTCTGGAACACAGCTACATCTGCTTGTTACTAATACTCACAACATGTTTGTCATCGCACGCAGGTCTTGGAGGAAGCAAGTACATCTCCTTTGAGGAACGCCAGTGGCACAACGACTGTTTCAACTGCAAAAAGTGCTCAGTGTCTCTGGTGGGCAGAGGTTTCCTCACCGAGAGAGATGACATCCTGTGTCCCGAGTGCGGCAAAGACATCTGAAAGCGTGCATGGAGAAAACCACCAAGCATCCACAACGCTTCAAATAAAACAGATTTAGGTACTCCATGGAAACATAGTAAAGCAAAGATTATAATAAGAGACATATTTTCTTTATTTCACTAGTTTATTTGAGCTTGCTTTAACTTGAAGACTGAAGAAAGAATTGGTTCTAAAGATTAAACTGCAATATGCATTATTATCTCTTTAAAATGTCTGAAAGGGTCTCGGATGTGTTGCATAACCCATGTCTTAACTTGCAAAAAAAATAAATGTTGTCCCTTTTGTGTATCTAACAGTTATACATGACATCTAAATAATAATGCAACATCAATAAAGCTTACTAAAAAAATGTTGTGTTTTTCTCATGAATTTAGACTATTGCACTCAGTAGTAATAAAAGACAATAGGGACACCTAGTGTTTAACAGTGACCATACAAAACAACATGCACTCTCTTATTGGGGCATAGGCAAAAAACTGTTTGTCAGTCGTGATATAAACCTTTCGAAGTAAACGTTTATGATTAAATGCTTGAGATTTGTTTTCAGACAAACGCAAATAATGCCAAGGTATGCTCAAAATTTCTTGGAGTTTGATTTGATAGTGAAGGAAATACACTCAACAAGTGTCCAGTATACATGGAAAGCCAAACTATAAATGGAATGAAATTCAAACACCATTAATATTTAATAAACTTTTATTTTGTGGACTTCGGCAGCACACTTAAGATCGACTAAGGTGTTAGTAATACAAAAACAAAAAAACAACACACTAACACAATGATCAACACTCTCAGCCGTTTATTTCATCAGGCTTGTTGTCAGTGAGGAACTTTCCATGCCGTTCAATAAAAACTCAATTCATAATGCCTAGAAAAACCTTCACTTAAACACTGACACGTAAATCACCCTTCATTTTGCTTTCTCACTTAAATACATCAATGCATGATGCAACACGCGTCACAACTGCATTTTGACCCTATGGGGGGCTATAAATACAAAAACCATAAAGGGATTTATTTAATAGTGGCCAAACTGACAGGCCTATTCCGATCTAAATCTCAGATCAACTTGTAAAACATCTTATTGGAGAAAAGAGCAACTCCGCAACTCGGTATATTCCTATGTCAGTAAAACACAGGAGACATCTCTAAAACACACCAAGAGCATATCCATCTATTTCCTCTAGTTGGGTTTGATTTGTTAACATGATTCACGTGCAATGAAAAGTTAATTAATTGCGAGAAAAATTTCTAATGGCAAAAAACTGAGCAGTCCAACATAAAACTGCTAGGAATGTGTCAGGTCCTTCACCACTACATAAGTCGAAAGCCAAAGCATTTCCTGGTGTGAAATCAACCAGAGGGTCACATTGCACGAGTCACTTTTCCTGAGGCTGGTAAGTAAAGAGTGACAACTTGAGGTAAGTGACAAGAACCCATCTTTCAAATTCATGTGCCCCATCGTGAGTACCTTTCATGGCCAACACAGAGACCCAACAGACGTTAACCATCCATCCTTGATGACATCAGAGATTATGGCCATGTGATGTGCTGAATCTTTTTCTTTGCATCAGGTGACTTAATGTTCTTCTGCCATAAAACAAATAAAAATAAAACACTTAAAATTCACACTTAAGACAATATTCACCACCGAATCTCACTCTTAGATCTACATCACAAATTTCCATGGTGTCATACTCACAGCAGTGTCATGTTCTCCGTCGCTGGGGGACGAGCGCTTTAGTTTAGACGTGGTGTTGTTTGAATGTGGCGAGAGGTTGGTAGTGTTTGAGTGCTTACAGGGGCTATTGGGACTGGCCCCTGGCGATGACACTGGTGTCCTGCTAGAGGAATTTGAGGAAGAGCAGTTTGTAGAGGTCCCAGTGAGCTTGCGAATGGGGTTTGCGAGACTGATGCTGGAAACAGGGGGCTTTATTCGGTCTGTGGTGATAGTTGCTGCTGAAGTATCAGCTTTCTTCAGCTTCACGCCGCCAGTGTTTGTGGAGCTGCCGTCAAACACAATTAACGGCCTCTTCCTGCCAGTATCAGTGCTTGAACTGTAACATATCGGTTATAATATAAGAGGAAACACGTTGGACATTCGCATGCAGTTACATACAAGTAACACACGTATGACTACTATCTGTGAACAGAAAAAAAATTTTGTTTAGGATTCACACAAAAAAAGAAAGTTCCCCGCTGCTGGTTCTCTGAAATATTTTTTTTTCCCTTTAGTCTACATATTCAGAGAGTTTGGATTAAGATTAGTTCAAATACATGTAAATGAGTTTTGCCACCAAAGGTCATCAAACCAGATGCAAAGCAAGTTTAAAGTCAGCATGAATTGTTTCTTCGCCATTGTGACGTATATCCGTTTAAAACAGCTTCTCGAGCAAGAAAAACTGGCGGGAAGTTAAAAACTTTAAATGGTTGAGGTTTGCAATTGCTGTGATGTCATGTGAGTGACAGGTTGATCCTGCCCTCACACCAATAAACAACATCAGAAAATGATTAAATCTTTGATTAAAGATTACAAGGGCACAAGAATAAAAATAAATAAAGATGTAGATGGTTAAATCACTTGTAATAAATACTGTAAACTTCTATAAAAAAACAGAAAAAAAAAAGGAAAAAAAATTGACCATTTGATTTTTGGGGAATTTAAGCAAAGAGTATAAGTGATTATTACATAGCGCTCTGTGAAACTTCAGTCAAATTTTATTTCAGACATCCCAACCTGCAAAAACACATTTCCGGGAGGTAACGTGTAACGATAAATTGTTATGCTATATATTGATATCAAAATGTGACTTAATGTATCGGTGGTGTAAACAATATTAGTCAGGATATAGAGTTAACCAAGACTCAGGTTACTGTATAATTTCTAAAGTACGGTTCACACACACAAAAAAAATGTAAATTAAGTCATCATACTCCCTCTCAAATCCTTACAAATTTTCGCTAATCTTCAACACAAAAATGAAGATATATTCATGAAACCTGGGAAATTTCTGTCACTCCATTTCAAATCTGTTAATATAAAACTTAAACACAATTTGTCAAAGATATTGAAAAAAGAATCAAGTGGTTTTGGGAAAGTTTGGCAATCGTCATTTTGACACGCTTTGGGATTAGAACTGTGATTGATTGTATTGATCATCTGATGCGCGCACACATCATTCTTTTCATGTAAGTGCATCAATAGCGGGAGAGGTAGGACGGAATCATAACCTGTGTGAGTAGCTTACCTGTGCCCTCTGCTCCTCTCGATCCTCCTCCCCCAGCGGCTGCTGGGCAGATCTCTCTGCGGGAGAGGAAGCACATGTCGTAGGTACAGACCTGTCAGCCGGTCGCGGTCCACATGGTCACCCACTGCTATCTTCCTCTAAAACACAACGCAGTCATGACTCGTTTACTGCCGTTCAATGACTGTTGATGAGTTAATTCTTCAGAATTCAGGTATATTTGCTGTCTGATATCGTTATACTATTCAGAAAAGACGCACGGAACAAAAATAACTAAACTATTATGATTATTGTCATAGCAGGAACACGCAGGTTGTGATGTGGCAGTAACCCGACTAGTTTCATGTGGCTCCGAGTCTCACCTCATGTAACATGAGCTGAATGAACTCTTGAGAAAGGAGCTCAGGGTGAAGCAGAAGGTCGATTTTGGAAACATCTTCAGCATTCACTGTAGGGTTTCTCGTTCTGTCACCTCTGTGCGACGCCATGTTTATCAGTCCATTTCCGGAGAGCGCAGGAAAAAGGTTTCTTGTTCTGCCGCATATGCGAGAGACGTTTAACATATCATGACCATTACTGCCACCTAGAGTGCAATGTGTGCTGGGGCGAGAATCATCAGCAATATAAATAATGAGTTAATGACAATGCATGACTCAATTCTTTTTCAAACAGAATTGACAGACATTGACTAACCTGACGAAGTAATACTTACACATGCATTTGCACATGGATTTACAGCTCTGAAAGAAATTAAATCAATTTCACTGACTGGCCAGCGAATTAACAGGCCAATATTTGGCCAGCATTTACAAATTAACACTGGCTGGTAAAAATTGTCCACTTGTTTGAATAAACATTTAATTTATTGTGTAAAATAAGAGTTTGTTTCATGTAATGTGTGAGTAGGAATGAGTGAGATTTAACAGAGGAAATAGCTCCAAAATTGTCATTTATTAATACAATGGAACTATACTCCACAGTGAATCCTAAAACAAGCTATAAGCTGCATTGGCATAGCAATCACAGTGTTTTCCACATGATACACCGGCACAAAAACCCCAGCGCCACCATGCAGTTAAACAAAAAAAAAAAAATGGATGGGCTACTGATGTATGAGTTTTATGGGCCGTTCTAGAGATTTTTGTTTATTTGTTTGTTTGTTTGTTTTTTTTCGGCATGGATGCAGTTTCACTTTGGGCATTACAAGATGTGAATGTAAATAATGACCACAAACAAAACTCAAACATGTTCAGTAAATCACCAGTTTAGATTCTTTATTTGCCAACCTGTAAAACCTTTTCCAACTGAAATGAAGGAAATTCAGTTCAGGAATATATAAGAATATTGCTTTGATGAATTTCAGACAGCTAATGCTTTTTCCTTCATCACTGCAGATTATGATAGGAGGATGTATCAAGTTAATAAGCGTTCTCAACTCCATGGGATTTCAAAGACCCTTGAAACCAAGTGTGTTATATATCTAAACATCATCTTTTATTCTTCGCTTGTCAATTTTAAACATACTTTGGTGCGAATCTTAGACTGAAGACTGGGTCTCACTGCTGCACACATAGATGTTGCTGGGTCTTATACGCCTACGACTTCGTCCGGGAATCTTGGGACAGAGATGACAAGTCTTGGGCATAAACTCCAGACAGGCCTCACGAAACTTTCGGATTCTCCAGCAATATATCACAGGGTTGAAAACCGCTTTTAGGTAACTCAACCACAGCGCCCCGATGCTGACGGGGTAAAACGCGGGGCTGAGATAGAAGCGTCTACTGAACACCGCCAGCAGGCTCACCACCGTATGTGGCAACCAACACACGGAGAAGCCAATAAAGAGGATGAGGATGGTGGTGAAGGCCCTGGTTTTGAAACTCATGTCCACATTGACTTGGGGTCGCTGAAGACCGGTTAAACCCAACTTGTTGACATGGTTGATGGCGACACTGCCTTCGCTGGTGTGATTGTGGATGCGCAGCGCGTTGCGTCGCACCGTGTTGAGAATACACAGGTAGGAGTACAACATCACACCGAATGGCACAAAAAACACCGCGACGGCGAGCAGAACCGTGTAACCCCGGTCCGCCAGCGATTCACTGTATCCCAGAATGCATTGCGGCACCTGTGCGCCGATCCCGGCCGTCCTCCAGCCGATCACGGACGGTAGGGACACGCAGAGCGACAGGGCCCATGACGCGGTAATGAGAATTTTCGCACGATGCGGCGTTAGCTTGTCCTGCCGCTGAACTATAATGAGGAAGCGATCGACGCTGATGATCAGAAGGATGGACACACCTTCCAGAACAAATAACCAGTACAACATGACGGACACGCGGCAGAATCCCACTCCGAAGCTCCAGTCCGTAGTTGCAAGAGTGACGGCGGTGAATGGCATGCATAGCAACGACAGCATGATGTCAGAGAAGGCCAGCGTGGCCAGGAGCAGATTAATCGCTGAACGCATGGCCGGTTTCTGATAAACTATCAGACACACAATGGCATTGCCGAGGAAACCGATGGTGATCATGAAGATCATGATGGCAGCCAGTGCCACCCTAAGAGTTGTGGGCATGAGGGCAGCGTCAGCCTCTTGCGTCTCAGTTTCTACTGGTTCAGGAAGGCCACACCCCTCCAGTGAGCTGCCATTACAGACGAACATGGCAGCTGTTACCAGGTATCATCCATTCAAACTTGGAAAGTCATAGCTAAACCACTGCCATGGTTATGTGAGCTTCCGTTAAGAGAATTTCTCTCCACACTGAAGATGTTGTAAAACATTACCTGCAACGGAAGACCAAAAGTGTGAGGTATAATAATAGCAATACAAACTTACACTACCATATGATTAATATATATATATATATATATATATATATATATACATACAGTATATATATATATATATATATATATATATAAATTTAATAAACATGCTGCAGTTTTTCATGAAGAATAATCAAATAATTGATTTTCTCTTACCTCAGGATAATATATGAAGATAGTCATATACTACTGTATATTATAATATTATATTTATAAACTTTGATGTTAGATGTGATTAATTGTGATAAATAGTTTTGACAGCACTAAAATTAATACTTTTAAGGTCTGTTCACACCAAGAATGATATATAGATTAATATCATATCTATATTGGCGACCACAAGAATGGACAAAATTCATATTTTTAGTGCTGTTTTAAATGGTGGAAATTTTTCTCACACCAGCTGAGAACTGCATAATCAATAAAATAGTTACAGGCATATTCAGTAGTTTGCCTTAGATATATAAAACAATTTTGTAATAATTACTTTTTTTCCATGAACATCTACATCTGTAGAGCAATCTGAGCAGCACAAAATTAGCAATATGGCGAGCATCTACAAACCACGATCATCGTGTTGACAGATGAAAGAGGGAATGATGCTCACTCAGAGGATGCTGCTGTTGCCATGGTTACTCTGGGTCGTTCTTTGCTAAGGATAGTGCAGATATAAAGGGGGATGTAAATTCCAAAAATTCATCATATGTGTCATGTCATCATCTGACACCTCCATTGCCCTAGAAAAGACACATAGCAGGACACAATTTTCATTACATATACAATACCCTACTTGGGGAATAATAGTCAATTATCAGCATATAATGTTAAAGATTTTTGGGTAAACTTGTGGATGAGACAAACAGATCATGGGTACAGGCGAGACATTGTGGACAGAAGCATATGAGTTAAGTAATCGTAAAAATGTAAATATATAATAATGGACCAGTGATAAAATTGGAACCAGAATACATAAACTATGACATACAGTATAGTTTGTGTACAAATAAACCATATTATGGTATACTTACTGCAAGCTCTGTACTATGAGCTGACAATAACAATACCTGTCTTTTCAACCTGCAGGCAAATATAAAATTGTAAACTGATCTGGATCCATTAGTCTCAGACCTTAATGTGTTAATTAACCCTGGTTTCCATGTTGTCTACCATAGACTAGCCATCAACTTAAGTGTTAGAAACTAGAGATTGATTGAACTAGACACTTAATATTCAACAATATTATTGATCTGTATTGGCGCTATTGTATAAGAACAGAATTGAGCTGGACAACGACATCATTTGTTGCAGAACTGCTTTATAGATTAAATAAACTAATTTAATACTTGAAGATCTTTACAATATAAACACTCAACTGACTTAAGCTGAACAACACTGTAATCACTGTAAATCTGTGCTGTATGAAGCACTATATAAATAAAGGTGACTTGACTTTGCACACTGATAAATAATATAATAATAATAATCATATCAACAATAAAATATTATGCATTATTATTATAATTTGTCTAACCTGTTTAGTGGCAAAGATGATGACCCTGAAATTGTTGATATTCATTGCACACTATTACATTACTATTCTTATTCGATCATGGCACAATATATATGTTTACATGCATAAAATTTCCTAAAGCCTTTCTATAACACATATTATGAAGTATGAATGCTTTTGCATACAAATATTATCCAAGCTGTTTCCAATTCAGCATACAGTAGCCTATAGCATTAATGATGATATTGGGTGCTATTTTTTGAAGAAGAAAAAAATCCCACCAGATGGAATGTATCTGTGCAGCTAATACTACAGAAACGATTTAGAGTAAATGTCATTCAAAACGAAGAAATTCACATAAAAAAGAAAGCAAACAAATGTATTCAGAAAGAAAGACATTCATGTGTTATTCATAACAAAATTATTATAGCAGCGGATATGTGGAAGATGAGGCAGAACTGCTAGAATAATTGTTTACAAATGCACACAACATTCAGAACTAAATGTTATCCAATTGCAGTTATGGATCACACAGGATAGGAAACAAATAGGCTCTATTAGAATTTAATTATTTCGAAAATGTCTAAGCGTGGTATGCATGACAATTTGTATCACTATCGCACCCTTGCGATTTATGCATTGATCACACGATGCATGTCACTGATGAAACATTACAGTTATAGCGCACTGGCGCGCTAATCAGATGTGATGTAATTTGCACAGCCAGATAGTGTGATTTTACCTCTTTATCTACTGAAGTCCGTGTATCTGTTGGGCGGTGAGCCGTGACAATCCAAAATAGATGAAGGACAAGATGTTGTAGTGGCTGCCCGTTTTTGATTTCAGTTACAGGACTGCCATTGTTTCCACTGATGCGATTTCTTGCTGCATGAAACACATCCGTCGGGGTGTGGAGCTCAGGAGGAGGTATGACAAAGGCAATCAATCACAGGCGGCTAGTATGAGCTTCATCCTTGTGGATTTCAGAGGTACACGGATGACAAACTGCATCAGGAGGTCTTTGTCATTCTCAGAAGAATATACGATCACTTGTTCAACCAAGGACGCAGCCTATTTATCATGTTTTGCGTTGCGTTGGGCTTTTGAGTCGATAGAAAAGTCAGGTTATTGACTTTTTATCCCCCCCCCCCCACCCCCCCCAACCCCCCAATGCTAATAATGAACATTAAGAATTTCAAAACAAAGTATAATTTGCACGATTTAATCAGCGTGATTTTTTTACCTTAGTTGGTCAGAACCAGAACAAAAGTGAATGTTATTTGTGGATGTTATACCACTTGCGGATGTTACTAAGAATCCCCAATGCTCCCCCACTCCCCATAAGACTACCACAGTGAAGCTTATGGGGTTGAAGATCCCCATGGAGGTGCGGTCGACTACCACAGAAGGGCAGACTGGGCTGATGACCACCACAGCAGAGTTGACTGGACTGGGGACAACCACAGCAGAGCTGGTGGGGATGAAGACCACCAAGGCATCATTGAGGACCACCAATGTGTAGCTGAGGACCACCACAGCAGAGTTGGTGAAGACCCCCAAACTTGAGACCACCACAGCGGATTAGGCAAAACTGTACAGAGCACAGAGAGGTTAGGGTTGGCCTCAGGGGCCCTGTCATGTGAGCTCAAGGGCATCCTCCATGGTTCTTACAGGACCGGCAGGGTGTTCCAAGTTGACCTCCGTGGTCATCTCAGGGCAGAAAGGAAGTTCATGAACCACCTCTGTGGTTAATGATAAAAGTCAGTGGGAAATCTGGGAAGTACATTAGATAAGCAAGGTCCAGGAATTCTAGGGTGTGGTCCTCAAGTGATCTTTTACCTTGGCGCTGGATCCATTATGGTCTGTCATTCTGTAATGGTTGAGAAAGGCAAAGAAGCAGGCAGAAAATAGGATCCACATGCAGTTTGGTTTAATATTTATATATATTTATATCTTGGATGAATCAGGAGTGAGAGTGACATTTCTGTTGGCCTCTGAGGTGATTGTGTTGTGCCTGTCACCACGGTAACCTCTCCATCTCTGGCCTGTCAATGGAACACTCTGTACTCAGACCCTCTCTTACTCTTTGATGCTGCTCACTGAGATGTCACGTCACACATTTACACCAATACCCATATGAGAATGAGATGCTCTGAAAACTCAAATACCTCTAGTCAAATGAAACTGCTCCTCATTATAATTTATATAAAGTATTCAAATAAAAAACTGAGACATGATATGTATAAACATGACCTTCATCCATAGGCGCTGCATGCTTACACAGTGTTAAACTGTATTGTAAGTATTATGACTCTAAAAATGCCAATGTCGGGTAAAATGCTGCTACAACAAAGCCTGAGAAATAAAATAGCAGATTATTAGAGAATAATACACTTGCACTAATCGATTATAATAAGTGATGACAATGTAGGTGTTATGAAGGCTACTATCAATACTATCAATTTTAAATTTCACAGAATCATAATATATGCAGTTCTATGTCAGAACAGAAGATGGCAACATTGTCCAGCTTATATACTGTATATGGTAAAAAATGCATTATATTGCACACAGATTATAAGCAAAGCATTGAATAATAATCATTACTGAATTATCAGCATCCTTAAATATCACTAAATAGAAATAATCGTGTCTAATAATAATACAAATTATTATAATAATAATGAAACTAAAAAATGAAAAAAAAAAATGAAAAAAAAATAGAAATGCACCGATCTGCCAAAAATCAGAATCGGCTGACAAAAGTAATTATTTTCAAAATGGGTCATTCAATGATAAGGGCCGATTATATCCTCTCAACTAAAAGGGGGTGGGAAAAGGTGTGTAGACTGAAACTGTACGCGTTTGTGTGCGTCTGTGTATTTTATTACTGGATTTTAAAAGACGGATGGTGGTACACGCGTGCAGGGGGAAAGGCGCAGCTTTCTGGGTTTTAAAAGAAAAAAACAATGGAAAGCTGGATGGACAGGCACAGGGATTTGGTCTGTCATCAGACTTAAACAACTTATGCTGGAGGACATAGGCTACTGAATGAAGTGGAGCTCTCACTATCAACTTTTAGAGGTCTCTGATGCAGTCGTAGAGGACCCATCTGCCATCGTGGAAGCCAGGCTGCACCATAACAACACTGTTCCAGCCTAGAACATCAAGGTAGACTCTTTTGTCTAATCAAAGAGCCCAAAATATGGAGTACTGGATTGGTCCAGTCTGAAACTCCAGGGAAAACTTGGCAAAACTGCCCTGCACGGACCACTCTGTATCACACGCATCTACAGTAATGCCACTGAGTGAGTGGATCCTCACTCTCAGTGTAAAAGCACGTTTGCAGGTTCTTCCTACAAAATACAACTTATCACTGTGGTTTCCCTCCACCCATTCACCCCTCTGCATGCTGGATGACCCCCTCAACACCTGCAGTCAGTAGCCCACATCATGAACAGTTGTTCATCATTTAAATACTGCTAGACATGACAGACTTGTGGACCTCATTGCTGCTCTGATTCCCTGCGTGGTTGATGAACAGATCTTTAAACACACTACTGTAAAGTCTAAATGGTTCAACTCACCTGCAAACACTTTTATAGGAATTGCTTACACCAGATATTGTTAACAACTCTCAGAATGGCAAAACAGTTGTACTATCTGAGGTGTCATGTGCATTAGACTTGTTTTGTGGAGGACTCTTACTGCACTAAAAAGCTAAAAAAAAAAAAAAAAAATTATTGATATCTACCATTGAGAACCTTGGGTTCAAAATTCAAATGCCATATTATGGGCATGAAAAGGGGTATCACTGAGTTTTGCAAGCTCGAAGAGAAGGGCGGGTCCTCCTTCTTCATGTAGCAAATCAAATGAGCTTCTCGCTGACTCTCGATTTACTCTGATCTAATTGGTTCAATATGTTCTCATTGCCAAAATGGTACTTTTAAAGCACATGTAGCCTGAAAGGTAAATAAATAAATATCTTCATAGTTTTAACGCTCTTAAATGTGACGTGATAGCTCGCATTTCAGTTGGCAATCAGTTCAAGTGGCAACGTGGAGCTCGAGTCAAGTTATAGCATGAGAAAAACATGCATGAACATCAGAAAAGAAGGTATGTTGAAAGATACAGTAGGGCAGTTTTTGAATTTCCGCCTTTTGCAAGGTTTCTTGCCATAAATTAAAAACATCACCCCGCCATATGACACATTTCTGTAAGATTGAAGATGTTACCCATTTGAACAGGAAACAAGTTCATAGCTTAATGAAAGGATGCGTTACATATACTTTTAGGTAAACTGAGCCAAACCCCCCTTTTTTGGTAACATTTGGGTGATTGACACAACCTTTGGGTGATTGGGACACCACATCATTGATTTAGGCTTGTAGTGTAAGCATATTTATTACACTAGCTCATACTTTGATACAATTTCATGTGCAAGATTCCATTTTTCAACATTATTAACAGTCCATGTTTATTTCTGTTCAAATTTATTTCACAATATTTAGGCTAATTCGTCCACAGTTATACAGTACAAGGGTAAAGAAGGCTTGAACTCCAAAAGTAATTGAAAAATGGCAAATTTATATATTAAAGTATGTGTGTATGTAAACCTTAATAAGTTGACATGTACTTGCAAAACTACGTATAGTCAGTAGAATGTCTGTTGGGGAACATGGGACCATCACAATAAGTGTAAGCAGATAGTCTTAATGAGAGTTTGTACATGTAGGCCTTTGTTTACATTTACATTTATTCATTTAGCCGACGCTTTTATCCAAAGCAACTTACAATTGCTATATATGTCAGAGGTCACACTCCTCTGGAGCAACTAGGGGTTAAGTGTCTTACTCAGGGACACATTGGTGCCTCGCAGTGGATTCGAACCTGGGTCGCTTACACCAAATGCATGTGTCTTATCCACTGCGCCATCACCACCTCCACCCCCTTACTTATAGTCAACAGAATGTTCAAAAGGGACCATCAAAATAAAGTGTTACTTTGATTATAGAATAAATGTGCCATTACTGTAAGATAAGTGTTTATGAAAACTAACTTCCCTGCTCTACTTTTGACATAAATATGTGTACAGAAATCACTTGAATGCTGAATATAAAAGGTGATTTTTTTTCTTCTTCATATAGCTTAGTGTGGGGTGTAATATACTTTCGTGTGTATGAGGTGACTACAAGGCACACTTGTCTAAATTGACATCAAACCCAGCAGTCTGATATGCCCATCAAGGCGCTGGCGTACAGGTATGCTGATCACGCAGAGTGACACTGGCACTACGAGAGCTCATCTCCCTGTCAATTACCTCTCAGATGTTTGCTCTAATGCAATCTCAACAGAGCTGCTCTAATCTGCCACCAGCTCACAAAAAATGCCACTTTGAGGAGCACAAGAATTTTCCTCACTTTTTAAATGGATACAGGTGAAGAGATGCAGACACTTAATGATAGATTTATGAATAATCCAATGAGATGTCCTTTTTAATGGCAATCAATGAATAGGGATACAATGCTGGCATTCTTATTCATCTATCTATCTATCTATCTATCTATCTATCTATCTATCCATCCATCCATCCATCCATCCATCCATCCATCCATCCATCCATCCATCCATCCATCCATCCATCCATCCATCCATCCATCCATCCATCCATCCATCTGAAGTCTAAAGTAAATACAGTAGTGCCTAAAAAGTCTGAAACCTCAATCACTCAAAATGTTTGATAATGTAATTAGTAATGGAAAAGGTATTAAAATTCAAAAATGCTAAATAGTGCACCTGTGCAATGCACCCACTGCACTGTATGTGACACCTTCCCATGCGTTAGTATTAAAATGAGCTAAGTTTGCTTTTGCAACTGCTCTGGAAGGGGTGAAGATATGCTGCAGAGGAATAGGTTCACAAATTGAAACGGTCCAAACAAGGATTCATCTAACGCTAAGAGGATCCAAACTCCTACACTTACATCTGTCCCTCATCTGGTGCTCATTTATTAGTCCTCTTCACAGTCCTCGTCAAAGGACAAACGTCTCTCTCAGGTGTGGGTGAAAACGAGGAGAGGTCCAGATATTAGTCAGTCTTTTGCACCA